AAAAAAACAAAAAAACAACTCCTGGCCTCAAGTGATCCTCCTGCCTGAGCCTCCCAAAGTGCTGGGATTATAGGCATGACCCACTACACCCCACTCAAACAATATTTTAAAATCACTTAAAATAATTCTACATGTAGTTTTGCCAACTTGATACACAGGTTTAGTGTTTTTATGAATTGTTTCCCTGTTCCTTTACTTTTTTCACTCTTTGTGGCAAAAAACACATTTATCATCCTAACCATTTCTACATGTATATTCATGTTGCCAAGAAATCTACAGAATTTTGTCATCTTGCATAATTGAAGCACTATACTCATTAAACTACTTCCCATTCCCCCCTCAACTACTGGGAAACACCATTCTACTTTGTTTCTATGAATTTGACCACTATGGTATATGTCCTTTTGTGACTATTTCATTTAGTATAATGTCCTCGTTTCATCTGTGTTGTAGCATGTCAGTATTCTTCCTTTTAAAGGCAAAGTAATATTCTACTCTATGTGTATGCCACATTTTATTCATTCATTCCTTCATAAACGGACATGGGTTGCTTCTACCTCTTGGGTATTGTGAATAATAGCACTATGAAGCTGGATGTACAAATAACTCTTTGAGATCCTTTCAATTCTTTTGAATATATACCCAGAGTTGAATTGCTGAATATTATTTAAAATTTTTAGAAACTGCCATACTGTTGTCTACAGCAGCTGCACCATTTTACATTCCCAACAGTGCACAAGGGTACACCAACATTTATTTTGTTTTGTTGATAGTAGCCATCTTAAGTGGCTGTGAGGTGGTATCTCATTGTGGTTCTGATTTGCATTCCCTAATAATTAGTGATGCTGAGCATATTGCTATATGCTTGTTGGCCATTTGTATATCATCTTTGGAGAAATGCTTGTTTGGTTTTCTCATAATACAAGTAATTTTGTATCTCTGTGGGTAAAATAAAAGTTTTAGTTGGTTTATTTTCATTATTTAGCTTATAAAAACAGATTGAATAATACAATAATTTTAAAGATACAAACCCAAACTGTTTATTATAGTACAGTTTATTTAATACAATGTTTAACTATAAAAGTTAATACAGTTTTGAAGTTTAAATTTTGTAAAATGCAGTTTGCAGAAAACAGCTCAACAATTACTAGACTAATGGTAAGAGAAGCAGCATTTTACAATTTTACAATTGAGAAGACAACAGCTTTATTTCTAAATTTCATTAAAAAAATATACATCACAGTGACCTTTGAGCTAGGAAAAGAAGTGCATTAACTTCATTTATGTTTCTTCCTTCCACAAAGAGAGCAGCCACAACTTTGAACGTCCCCACATACAAATACCCAATTCATTTATCAATCTTTCAAAAACACTATATACACACAAAAGGGGAAGAAAATATACAGCATGTGCTTTTGGTAACATATGGAATTTGCTTAAAGAAAAAAAAAAAAAACAGAGAAACACAAATCAATCCCACCACTGCCCCCCTGTACCAAAAAACAAAGAAACCCTCAAACACTCCCTTCTCCAACCTTGCTGATGGAATTTTCCTATTCATGTGATTTTTTTTCTCTTTAATATTTACTTCTTTGTCACACAACAGGTCACAGAGTTTGCATTTGCCTGAATCCCTTAAAGGCAGTTAGCTGGGAAGCCCACTATGGGCAGGTGTGCCAGTCAATACTGCACTTCCTGGGGCTTATTTTATTAATTTTTTTAAACAAGTTATTTATAATAAAACACATCTTTTCACAATAAACAGGTTATCAACCTAAAATCCTTTAGAGTTTATTCAATTGTAAATGTATGAATTCTAATCAAAATAATTACAAAAAACATAACCAAAAGGAGACAGAAAAATACCCATTTTATTTCTTTATAACTATCGGCTATATGGTATATATTTAAAGTACCTTCTGGTGAAGGCAAACTCAAGTTTCTATAGAAATTTACTATAAAAAGTTCAGTGTGATGAAAAACTATTACCAACTGGGATGGAGTACTATGACTACTGAAAAACATACTAACTTGCTCCATATACTAACTAGAAAATAAATTAGAACTGCCAGTTAATACCACTACCCAAAATACCAGAAACCCAATTTGTGCCTATTCATAACATTAAAAAACCTTTGTTTAGTTTCATACCTTCCACTAGGCACAAGAATCAAAGGCCATTCAGCAAAAACCAACATGCATCAAAATATCATACTTGTGCAAAGGCAGATTTATCACATAAATTCTTTGCAACTTCTGAGGGTTTCAAGTACGTAACTTAAAAGAAACTACATTGATGCATGAACTCACCAACTATAACTTAATCAAAGAATGTTTTAAAGCAACCCAGCAGCTTCTCTACTGCTCATTTCATTGATATTAATCTCTCTGCAGTGTCAATTTTTGTGGCAGACAGCTTACCCAGAAAAATAACTCACACAAAATAATAATCATGAAAATTCTACATACCGAAAAAATTTTCTTGGCTATCATCAATCAAGCAATAAAAATAAACCAAGTTTAATATCTTTAAAAGTATATTAAGTCAAAGATACTTCGACATGAACTATAAGCTTAGACATAACTATAAAATCAATTTGATAAGCAAACACAGCTGACTTTCAGGAAAACAGATAATGTGCAATGTAAAAACTAAGGATGGTACAACTATTAAAACATAAAAAAAGCGAAGGACCATTTGAGCTATGTGCTATTCAGATGCGAGTGCGTATCTTCAGGGACAGTTAATGCTATTTAACCTTTTTCTAAATGTTCTTTATATTCTAAAAACAAAATCTGATTGTCCTTCTCTCAACTCCTTCACATCTGTTCTGTAAAAAGAGCTAACAAAGCTTTTTAAAAAAGGAATCATGCTTAGCAAGGAGTCGCTCTTTTGGTAACCCAAACAGGAGAATACTGCTTACAGAAATTACTAAATTTTTTCCCCTATGGTTACTTTTTGAAACTCTAAGATTTGGAAAATCCTTGTCTATAATTTTTAGTAGATAAAACTCTGGGATCAGACAACATAGAAGTAGTTTCACATAGCATGGACTTTAAAAAAAAAAAATATATATATAACTATTAGAAATCCTTTCTTAAACAGCACCTTTCTTGAAGCTCAAATAGTTTATAACAAAGATTTTAAAATGCAATTTACTGAATTTAAAACAAACAATAAGTTGTTTAAAATATATAATAGATTATACAGTTTGGATACTCAGACTCAATTATCCCTAATGTGGGTTTGCGGTCAGTCTCTAAGGAATCAAATCACCCTGGATTATAAGAAGCATCCACTATTTTATCATTAGAAAAAAAAATTTGGAAAGAACCCATTGTGGGTATTTGTTTCACAATTTCCCAAACAATCTTATAATCACTACACTATTCATTCTGTAAGAGCTACCACAATGCCAAATGTATCATTAACTGTATTACTCAATAATGGAAAGTATCATGTTAAGCATTGCTTTATTCATTACAAATAGCACTGAGTAGCTACTGGATTTACCAAGAAGCTACCTTGGTAATAGAGTTGACACTATACTGACAAATATTAAAGTACAAAACTTTCTAGAGACTACGATTAATCGGAATTTTGAAATTTCTTTTCAAATGAGGCAGGTTTTATGTTTGCTGGATGTTCAATATTTTATTTAAAATAGATATTACAGAATAAAAGGCCACACATCACAAAAATAGCAAAATACAACACACAAAACTCTAAATGGACTTTGGATATGTTTAGTGTTTAACTCTGTAAGCTATCAAATTTTGCAACTTTCTACTCTACTCTAAATGGCAATGTTACACATGCCAAGTTAAAATAACGTTAACAGTAATGGTATAAAGCCACCTGAACAGAAAGAAACCAGAGTCATAAACATGCTATATAGCCTATATCATGATATAGAAAAGATGCATTTTCTTGCCATTTGAAACTCACAGCTATGAGAGTTAGAGAAGTCAATTCAATTAAAAAAAAAAAAAAAAAAAGCATGCGGAGTTAACACTCAATTCTATATAGGTCAGAGGCCAAAAAAGAGAAATCTTAGAAGGTGTCAATACTAACAATTTTTAGAATCTGTCTAGCTTAAAGTCCTGCACAAGTGGTATGTTTTAGTGAGAAAAAAATTTTTTTTTATTTTAGAAAAGGGTATTAATAACAATAAAACAATGTTCCCCCCACAAAGCAAAAATTTCAACTCTCAAACCAAAAGCAACATAGAATTGAGAATTACAATCTGATTTTCCAAGGTATAGTTCTGGTCAAATGCTGTATAACAGCAACTGAAGCTCAATCAGTACATCAACTGAAAAATTACTCTTATAAGACTTTTATAGGCAGTTAAGTGAAACAAAACTAGACAGGAAAGGCATTAATATGAAAAAAGCTACGGCTGGAACTATAAAGTATGAAGTGCAATATAAATAACTAAATATTTTAAAGCACAAATTGCTATAAAATCAAAAGTGATTTAATAAGATCTCTAGTTATTAGGATCCTGCTTCTGCATAATTAAAGGAAACTGCGGCAAACCTCTATTAAAATACAGTCAAAAAATCTACACAAGATTTCTTCTAGTGGCTTCTAAAGTTACTTTAATCATGAGAAACATAAGCCTTTGTAACAATGTATTGCAGCCATCAGTTATGCCTGTTTCCAAATGGCTGATTAAACAAATCAGGATGCTATTGGCTAATTGTTGCAACACAATAATGCATACATAAATAGTTAAACACAGCACACAGTATTACACCAAAGTGTTTTTCTCATTTCAAGTTTATTAAAACTTTAGCAGTACAAATTATCCAGATTGCAGATTATCAAAAGATCAACTCAATGAAATCCACATTAAAAAAAAAAAAAAAAAAAAGGACAAACATAAAATAACCCAAAAACAATGAAAAGGAAAACAACAGAAAGGAGATTCAGTAGCGAGTCTCTAAAACTTAAAATTTTAGACAGAATGGAAATAAGTTTACCCAACTCACTCATCCACTTTTGTCCTCATCTGTTCCAGGGCTTGATTCATGATCAAATTTCTTGTCGTGTACATGGTCATTTTCTTGACCCTTTGATTTTTGGTTTTCTTTTTCCACTGAGGATCTGGTCTTCTCATCCTCCTTATTTTTCAATGTGGAGGACTTTAATTCATTGTCCTGACTGCTTTGTCTTATTTTTGAGAATGGACTTTGATCTCTATCAGCCTTTTTTTCCCTGCTATTATTTGAGCTACTATGATCACGATTTTTAGAGTACATTCTTTTCTCACCCTCAGAATTTTCTTTTCTGTGTGAACTCTTACTTTCTTGGTTTCTGTATTTTTCTTTGTTTCTGCTTTGACTTTCTTCTCTCTCTGAGCTCCGTGAATCTCTCCTCCTTCTCCTTCTATCTTTACTTCTTGATCTTCCTGGTGTTGCTCTTCTCTCTCGGCTTCGTGATCGTCCTCTCCTTCTGTACTCTTGTTCTCTGTATCTATGGTACTCCTTGCTTCTGCTGCGATCCCTGTCATGGCTTCTAGATCGCACTCTTCTGCTCCTGTCCCTACTTCTGCTTCGTTCCCTTGTTCTACTATTGTAACTGTGTTTACCTTTAGTTATATCACATTCTCTACTCCTAGATTGTGCACGCCTATCCTTTTCCTTACTTTTATTGTAATCATGCTCATTATTTTTTGATTCTAACTGTTTAGACTTCTCTTTACTTCTACTCCTTTCCTGATCTTTTCCTTTAGACTCAGACTGTTTTTCTTTTTCTTTAACATTCTCATGATCCCTGTCTTTACTCCTTGATCTCATCCTCTTTTCTTCGTGTCTATTATGTTTTGAATCTCTTTCCTTACTCTTTGATTTCTCTTTGCTCTTACTCCTACTTTTAGATTTGGCCCTTTTCTTCACTTTGTTTTTATTATATTTATCATCTTTTTCTGAATTTCTTCTGATGTCTCTCTCTTTGCTGTTAGATTTATGGTCTTTAACTTTCTTTTCCTTTTCATTTTTTCGGTTTGGACTCTCAGATACATGCCTGTGATCAGTTATTTTTCTCTCTTTTACTCTAACTGGACTTCTTTGATTTTCTTTAATTTCATTCAACTCACTCCTAAACAATAAGAAAAAGTAAATAAAGATTTTTTGGAAATGTTATTTGGAAAGGAAAGGTGTACATCATTAGCTAAAATGACATTCTATTTTTCTTAAGGCATTCAGGAATAATTTAAATGACTATTAATAAAATGACTTTATGTACAATAGTAAAATTAAATACTTATCACTAGATTTGAAATAATAGTTAAATCTTACTTATCCCCTTTGATCCATCTTTCACCACTTGATACCCTCATTCTTTGAGCTCTCTGCATCTCTTGCCTCCAATGTGGAGGAGTCTCACTACGTCTGAAACGATCCCTTGATCTGGACCTGGAAGGAGTTCGATAACGCTAAGTAAGATAAAAAGGGAAAAAAATTAATGTATAAGAATATTAAAGCATTACAACAATAGCTAAAGAGTATATATTCTAGGTTTAAATAAAATGTCTGAAATTTCTATGCACTCTAAAATTACAATTTCCCAATTTTCAGATAGGAAGTCAATGAGGCAGAGAAACTTAGCCACCCATGTCTTCTCCATGGAAGAGTCTATCCTAGTGATGTTGCTATAGCATGCAAAGTGCAATAACCCTTACAAGTTGCCAAGTTCCAATTTGAATGTTATGGATACTTGATGTTTCAAAGCAAACATTTTCCATAATATCAGAAAAACTGACTAACCACACAGATGTTCATTTATTCAACCAATACTTACTCAACCCTTAAGATGGTCAACCATACACTGAGAAAACATTAGTAAGCCAAGATATATTTGATTTTGCTTTCCTGGAACTTATATTCTACACGACTAGGAATGGAACACGTGAATGGAAATATAATCACAGATGTTAAATGTATATGTGGCTATAAGAGAATGAGTGTAAAAGGAAAAGGTGCTCAGAGAGTATGTAACAAAGACAGCTGACCTAGTATGAGAGTGTGAACAGTTAAAAAGATACAACCTGAGAACTAAAGGATGTTTATGATGAATTACCTAGGAAAGGGTGAGAAGAAGGAGGTAAAGCATGGCAAGGATAGATGGGTGAGGAAAAATACATAAAGTATATGAAATACCATGTTTGAAGATTCTGAGACAGGAAAAACATAGCATGTTTTAGAAATGATGAGATCAAGTATGACTAACTGAAAAAGTGCAAGGGAAAGTAGTACTAGGTGGCTCAAGCCTGCAATCCCAGTACTTTGGAAGGCTGGGGCAAGAAGACTATTTGATCATAGAATTGGAAGTTGCAGTAAGCTATGATGATGCCACTGTACTCTAATCTGGGCACAAGGGCAAGACTCTTGTGAAAAAGAAAGAAAAGGGAGGAAGGAAGGGAGGGAGGGAGGAAGGAAGGAAGAAGGAAGGAAGGAAAGGGAAGGGGAGGGGAGGGGATGGAGAAGGGGGAAGAGACAGAAGTAACTAATGAGGTAAGCAAGGACTAGGTTTTGTGAGGTTTCCTAGGCCATGGTAATAATTTTGGATGTATCCTAAGATCAGTGGTAAACAAGCAACACAAAATCTGATTTTCAATTTTAAATGACTATCCTGGCTACTGTTCTAACAAAAGATTAGATCAGGCCGGGCGTGGTGGCTCACGCCTGTAATCCTAGCACTCTGGGAGGCTGAGGCGGGTGGATTGTTTGAGCTCAGGAGTTCGAGATCAGCCTGAGCAAGAGGGAGACCCCGTCTCTACTAAAAATAGAAAGAAATTAATCGGACAACTAAAAATATATAGAAAAAATTAGCCGGGTATGGTGGC